ACTCACGCGCTCTCTCACACACACACACACACACACACACACACTCTCTCTCTCTCTCACACACCCCCACACACACTCACACACACACACACACACTCACACTCCACAAACAGACACACACACTCTACACCCACACACAGACACACTCTACACCCACACACAGATACGCACTCTACACCCACACAGTCACACACACACACACACACACTCTACACCCACACACAGACACCCACACACAGATACACACACACTCTACACCCACACACAGTCACACACACACTCTACACCCACACACAGTCACACACACACTCTACACCCACACACAGTCACACACACACACACACACTCTACACAAACAGACACACACACTCTACACCCACACCCACACAGTCACATACACACACTCTACACCCACACACAGACACACACACACACACAGACACACTCACACAGACACACACACCCACACACCCACACAGACACACACACCCACACACAGACACAGCCACACAAACACCCACACACACACACACACACACACTCACACACGCGGCTCCATAATGAGCCACGCCCACACACACACACACACACACACACTCACACTCACACACACGGCTCCATAATGAACCACATCCACACACACACACACACTCACACACTCGGCTCCATAATGAGCCACGTCCACACACACACACACACACACACTCACACTCACACACACGGCTCCATAATGAACCATTCTGTTCATCTGTGAATCCTGAAAAATAAAATGTATCACAGTTTCCACAAAAATATTCAGCAGCACAACTGTTTTCAACATTGATAATAATCAGAAATGTTTCTCGAGCAGCAGATCAGCATATTATACTGATTTCTGAAGATCATGTGACACTGAAGACTGGAGGAATGATGCTGAAAATACAGCTGCACATCACAGAAATACATTACAGTTTAACAGATACTCACATAGAACACAGATATTTTAGATTGTACAATTTTTTCACAATATTACTGTTTACTGTATTTATGGATCTATTAAATGCAGCCTTGGAGAGTATGAAAAACATTTCATAAAAAGTTTAATTATTCCAAACTTTTGGCCACCAGTGTACATATGTGTGTGTGTGTACAAATGTTTTAATAACAGCCACACACACACACACAGTCACACACACACACACTCTACACCCACACACACAGTCACACACACACACACACACTCTACACCCACACACACACACACTCCACCCCCACACACACACTCTACCCCCCCCCCCCCCCCCCCCACACCCACCCCCGCCCCACACCCACACACACTCTACACCCACACACAGACACACTCTACACCCACACACAGACACGCACTCTACACCCACACAGTCACACACACACACTCTACACCCACACACAGACACCCACACACAGATACACACACACTCTACACCCACACACAGTCACACACACACTCTACACCCACACACAGTCACACACACACTCTACACCCACACACAGTCACACACACACTCTACACCCACACACAGTCACACACACACTCTACACCCACACACAGTCACACACACACTCTACACCCACACACAGTCACACACACACTCTACACCCACACACAGTCACACACACACACACACACTCTACACAAACAGACACACACACTCTACACCCACACCCACACAGTCACATACACACACTCTACACCCACACACAGACACACCCTACCTCTACACCCACACACAGACACACTCTACACCCACACACAGACACGCACTCTACACCCACACAGTCACACACACACACTCTACACCCACACACAGACACCCACACACAGATACACACTCACACACACACACCCACACACACACACACACTCTCTCACGGTGAATGATCTCGAGCTGCTGCACGTGGTTCAGTGAGGTGATGCAGGACATCAGCAGCTCTTCACTCGTCAGTGCTTCAGCTTTGGCTTTCTCCTCATAAGCGAGCAGCGTGTCCGACTCGTCCAGCAGGAAAGGAACACCCGTCTTTACATACATTCTCTATACATAATATTTAACATAAAAATAGTTAGATCATTACAGAAAAAAAGACTCTCATATGGATAAAATATTGCTACATTTGTCAATCAACCATTTAAGATCCTCTAGAATAAAAAGCTTTTAAACTTCATACTCAAAACTGAAGCCCACCTTGCAGTCGTTACATGTGCAGAGTTTTGCTCTCCAGAAATAAGGCCAGAACACAGCACCGGCCCTCGTGCTCGCCGCGTCTTTGGCCTTGAGCTCATTTAAAACACATTCGGTGACTCTGGAGTGAGCCGTCACTGAATCCGGGCTGGACGTGCGGCCTGCGGCTCCAGCCGTCTGATGAACACACAACACTCATTCACACTGTGTGTAGGCTGGACACACCAATCTGGATCAAAGACTCGGGTTAATCACACAACATGCCGTTTCTCACCGTTTCTTCCTGCTGACCGTACGGACATTTTCCTTTTTCATCTGTCATCAAATCAGCATTCGTTTGCTCTTTACAAAGGCTTTCTTTATTCACAGGAGAAACTAGAAGAGAACACAAGAACCAGTCTTCCCAGCCTGGTGCAGGTCTGCAATTTTGTTTCTGGTGTCCTTTGATAGCTCTTTGGTCTTGGCCATGGTGGAGTTTGGAGTGTGACTGTTTGAGGTTTTGGACAGGTGTC